GTGCGATTAATGAAAAAGCCACCCACACGTCTCTCACCCTCTCGTCGTCCACCCACATTTCCCTGCCAGACCTGCTGGTGCCTACGGCCGGCCCGATGCTTGCCATCGATCAAGCCAGTCGAGTCACGACCAATGAGCCGCGCGTCCGTCTCACTTTTCAAACGCGGCTTTCGTTTCGGCTGCTCGACGATGAAGTGGTAAAAGTTGTCGTCTTCGTTCACCAGTTGGTGCAATGTACAATGCGAGATATACTCGTTCTATGAATTTTTTCCACCAGTTTTATGACCTCGTTCAGAGGTATTCTTGATCTTAAGGAGATAGAAGCTTAAGCCTAGAAGACTGAAGTCTAAACTCCGTTTTAACAATGTGTTCGATGAGTTTGAACAGAGCTCAAATCTTTACCCTTAAGTTTAAACTGCTATTGTGGAATCGGCCCAAAGTGAGATACACAAGTGGCAGTGGCAATAAGAAATAAAAAGTGGACAAGAGAGAGAGAGAGAAAGAGGATATCGATTATCCGGGAGCACAAAATAGGCGCGTGTCATCTCACCCGCGCGTTCCATTTGAAATACGTTCAGGAAAAATGTGATACATCAACTACATCGTTATCTCATCGGCAATTCATCGATATTCCACTCTCATTTTAGATAATGACGCACGAAATTCGAGACAGTGCGTCTCATCAGCGCGCGTTTCCGCGCGTCATCGCGTCGATCGGCAAAGATTGCCACCTCGAATCGCTCCGGTATACGGTGTACAATGTGAGGCTTAAAAGGAAACGTCGACAGCTCCATTTGTGCGGCTCGTTCGGGATCGTGCCTTCGGTAATCCGACGACGCCCATTGTCGCCGCGCCCGCGTCATCGCGCGTCCCGAAGACCCTTGATTAACCTTCGACAGTTGCGCATTCATAACGCGAACGATGATGCGAATTCGGCCCGGTCACGTTGCGAAACGAATGGGACCGTTGCATCGGCGTGTACGCACCTGTGAGACCACCTGTTGCCCAGGCGATCTCACCTCAGGACTGTCCACGAGCCCGCGAAGCGCCCGCCAGGCAGATTGCGAGAGACGTCGGGCGAAAATGATTAATAAGAATCGGCTCATCTGTTATACCACGTGTGTGCACGCAATCTTTCTCTCTCTTTCTCCCCGTGTGGAATTTCGTTTCAATTGAAAAGTTGCACAATCTCCGCGCGCTCGTTCCTCACCTCGGCAATACAGCTTCCGCGAAAACGGAATTTCGCTTCGTATTCAAAATGAATATTCAGCGTAAGCGTGTGAAATCTCGTATGAGCGTTTTCAGCAAGGACATCGGTAGAAACGAGAAACGGAGAGGAAGAGAAAAAAAGGCGAACGCGAGAGAGAAGAAGGACGTCGTCCTGATCCTGGGAGCCGGAGCGACGCGATCTTCCAGTACATAAATAAATCCGCGCCGAGCATATTGAGCGGTCATATTTCATGGCGGGCAAAAAATGCGAACGTCCCTCGGAAATCCGATGTCTCAATCCGTCTCTGGGATCTCTCGTCGATACTCCGAGCGGTCAATTAAGGCATGCCTCCCAGATGTCCCCTGATATCTCTGGTCCTTATGCACACGCGCACGTCGACGCGAACGTCAATAAGTCGCACAAGCCCGGGAAACGGTATTACGCGCTGTGATATCTCGCGTATGCCTCGCACACCGATGCTCTCTTCTCTCGTGCTTACGCCCCGATAATCTCTCTTCCTGCTCCGCGCACGGCCCGTCTCGTTACTTACTGCTTATTTACCCGCTGGACACGCTGAGAGATACAATCTGCCGAAGGATCTGTCGGAGACGGTGAGAGCTGGGCGAAAGAAACAGCGGAGAAAGCGAGATGCCCCCTAGCCACCCAAGAAGAAACGTCGTAATAATTAATATCGACGATCCCGGGCGACGATACACTCGATGGCGGCCGGTATCGGGCCAGTCTGATCGGAGGGAGGACGAGAAATCCCCGAGATTCGAGGATTAGATCGGTACGCAGGTGTGAGCCAAGTAGGACGCTGGTACTTTTCTCGGCGCGGCCCCGCGGGCCATAATGAATAAAATCTCTCGCTGCACACGTCGATTATTCTCCAAGCTGGAGATATAAATGAAGGACTCTAGGCAACGGCGGGGCCAGCGAGGGCCACATGAGCGCGAGCCTCGTCACTCACTTCGTTTGCTCTTTTGTGAGGTTGATTATGAGGTGTCGATTGAAAATTCCTTTATTCTCCGCAGAAGTATCAAGCGCGATGACTCCGAGATGCGCGAAGAGTGATGATTATTCCTCTCGTTGTTTCTTTAATCCACTCACGATGCATAAGTAATGAGCGAAATCACTGTCTTCGACGTCACGAGCGTAAGTGCGCTCTCACGCACGATTACCTTCACCCTGTTTATCCCGTCCTACACACGCGGTAGGATCCTCTAACCTTTCAGATTAAGAAATATATCACGAGAAACGTCGAATGCGAGTTACGCGGAATAATTATCGAGGTCAGGCGGAGATCGATGAGCTTCGAATTAATGAACATCAGGTACGTCGACTTCGCGCGAACGTCGGTGCGATCAAAGCCGAAGTGTGTTCGGGAGAAGTGTTTCGAAATCGGACTGTGCTCCGAGGAGGCGCTCGATTTTTCATCGGATTTTGACTTTCTAACGGGACACGACGCGAGTGTGTCGTCCATCCTTTTTCTTTCGTCTGCGCAATATATCCTCGCGTTCTCACGCGGCGGATTATCGAGATTGCACTTGCCTCTTGATAGACGCTTTATCCCGAAACGCGATATACCTTAAAAGCTGAGGACGATAAAGAGACTCGATTAATTTACCGTGGCTCTTCACAATCCCTCCAAGGCAAATCCTCCTCTCTCTCATCGAATCTCCTCATCCCCCTCTCGCTTTCTCTCTCGGATTATTGTTCATGTCCCTTTCTCTCCGCCTGCCCGTCGTTCTTCTGCAACGTACAAAATAGAAACCGAAGAGCGCAACACGGCGAGCTTACTCCTGCCTAATGGATAGTAAGAAATCGGCCCGGAGCTTATCATTTTAATGGAAACCTTTATGGAGACCACTTTAGGTGCTATCTCGTCGTCACCGCGACGAATTCTGGGTGGCTGTTCACGCGCCGGGCAAGCTGCATAATGCGTAGCCTCCACGCTCCGGTTATTGCATTAATGAGAAGACATTCTGACAATTCTCCTCCTCCCTTCCCTCATTCGTACTTATCTAACGTGGGACGAATTGTTACTCAAACAGATCTTTAAAAAATCCAATCCTTTCCCGGCGGATTTATTAGAATTCTTATTCTATAATTATTATTCGCTTTAAAATCCATAAGGACCTCACTGAGGATAATATCATACGGAAAAAAATATGCATAAAAAATATACGCATAACCAGAAATATTTAATTGTGAGCAGCGTAGTTGCATCGCTCTAGTTATCTTTGTACGATGGTAACATGTATAGTCGATATGACTCAACTCATTGCTGAGTTATTTTGGCACATCAACTGCATGAATCTGCGCGTGATATGCTCGTGGAAACTAGAAATCGGTTGGAGTGACAATTACCATGGGTACACTCTGGTTTGGGGCAAGAAGACATCGTCATTGTAATTCAGCAATCGGCCTGTGATTGCAGCAATTACAATAATTAATTGTTTCGTATTGTACTATTGAATCTGGTTGGCACAACCAGATTTATGTGCCAGTCAATCATATATTGTTTTCCCTGCGCATGATCTCTCCTCGTTATCATATAATTCAATTCTACTTTCATTATTCATAACTGACATAGTCGATCATATAGATCGCGCCAAGGAGATTACCGAACCTTGCGGCTTTCGCAAAAGCGCATGTATGGTCACCATGTATGTGGCCACGTGACGTGATGGTCGTCGAACGCAATAATATCCGCGACGACGACTAGCTCTCGTAGCGGTCATCAACACCGACGTAAACACCACGTCTTATGTGGGTCAAGCTCGTCGCGGGCCACGCCAAGAGCGTGCTCTCGATCACGGGAGTACCACTCGTGAATGCACCTACACGGCGACGTCGCGACGTCAGAGACCCTACCGACTAGAGACGGAAGGTAAGAGGCGAGATTTTAAGCGGCGCGTGCTTCCTCTCCCTCTCACCCTCCTTCTCCTCCAGCACCTCATCCTCTTCCTTTCTCCTCTTCAGATAGGAGGTAGAACGGTACTTTCCAGATACGATTCGAGTAAAAGGGATTCCGACCGACCGAGCGACGCCCACGCCCGTGTGCCGGCACACCGCTTCGCTTTCTACTTTTCCAGACAGCACCGTCTGGATGATCTACGACCGAGGGTTCTCCGCTAGAAAGAGCGGACTACGTACCGTGCTCCGTTAAAAAAAGCTCACTCGCAGTACGCGCTCGTATGCGCCGATAAATTACGTTAGCCTGCCATCGCCACGTCGTCGTCGTCGTCGTCGTCGTCATCCACCGATGCTCGCGAGCTCCTCTTTTATTGCGGGACGCGTTCACGTACGGGCGAGGCTCTGTCGCTCCGAACGTGAACGCTCCGGATGTTACGAGCGAAGCAAACAGCGAGTATGGTTACTAAAATAATAATTGCCCACGCGTCATCATCGCCTTTACGTCAAACGTGGTAGTTATCTAATCGTGATTCTGATGTACACACAACACAGAGTCATTTAGCGACGGGATAACTGCGTGTGCGTTTTGTCAATATTTTTCAATGATAAGATCTCGACATTTACTATAAACTCGTTAAAAATTACATTAGCTTTATAGAAATGCGTGACTATTTTTCTCGTCGCGCTTTCGATAGTTACTGAATATCTGTTTCTCTCCGTTTCTCGTTAAGTGTATCGCGGTGCGTCGCGTCTGTGCGCCGACTTTGCCTTGCATGAGAACGAGGAATCACGATCGGACATTCGGTGTCGTAAGGCGATCATAACCTGTGCAAACGGCACTTCCAGGCGGAAGTGTCGCGGCAAGACTCACTTTTCCCTTTAACGAACTCGGAATTGAGATCCGCTGACACATCGTAGCTACCGGCGACGATCAGTAGGAGGAATGTCACGCCGAGGAGGTTGCAGGTCGACAGCGCTTGTAGCCCGCGTCGGTGGTTGAACATGATGAGCTTTCATGCCCTTCACGAACCCGTAGGCCTTGTCAAGGTGACCTGAGCGAGGAATCCCTCTTCTGCTTCGTGGGCCCGTCGACTGTCATGAACGAGGAGAGGACCGAAGGTGCTGCGCAGAACCGTTTCCGCCGCTGCCATAGCTTTCCCTTCTTCACCGTGCATGTCGCATGTCCGGTGAAGTTAAAGTTGTCACGACTGTCTGAAACGAGAAGAGTTTGCAATTAAAAGAAAAGCTACGCTGAGAGGATCGTTTAGCGGTAAACGCGGCTGTCGAAAACGCTCCGTCGACTCTGTGTTCTCGATTTTCCTTTATATCATCCAAATTTTTCCGGGATAGGAAATTGTACGCTTTGCAGGAAAATTGAGACTTCGAGAGCTTGAAGAAACGGAGACTTCAACAGTCACGCTCGGTGAAGATGCGATTGTGTTTTTCTCAAACGAAATAAGGCGCGAAGGGCAATCAGCGTAAATCATCATCCCCCACCGTTGAAATCGCCTTTATTTCCATTAGCACTCTCAGAGAATTATGTTTCGCGAGTTACGCGTGTAAATCAATAGCTATCAGCCACTACGATGAGTTACGCCGATTGGTATGCCTCCTGTACGAGCACGTGTTCCTAAACAACCCCAGTAACGATGTTCATTATACACGTCTGAATTATGTCACGCATGCATCCCCGATCGTATCACACACTGTATGCACTATGCGTTGTGTAGCTGTGTTCTAATGAATAGCACGACAGTATCGTAAATATGTCCATCCCGGACAACTGTTAATGTTTAGTCAATTTCCTTTAAGCGTGATTCGCGATGTGGTAAATTCAGCCGTCAGCTTCGTCTCCAGAAAATAAATTCGTTCATGATCCTATTACCCAAAGAAATAGAATCTTATCTTTAGCAGAATAGAATCTTATCTTTAGCAAAAATCCTCTTACATGACCTCAAGTGGATTATTCTATAATTAAAAGGAAAATGTAGTCTAAAGAGTATTCTAAGTAGAATACTCTTAAAGTTACAGGAATTTCGTCTTACATCCACGGTACACAAGTCTTGTTCTTAATAGGAATTTTTTCTAGTGAGAGATAATTCTGTTGCATATGGACATAGTTCTTTTAATTCAAGAGGAAAAAATTTAAAATAATATCTGATAAATTTTTTATTAATAACTCATTTCAAAAGAGGACTCGGTAAGAATTTCTTTTTAGAAAATTATTACAGGAAATAGCATCTTGGAACTTAGAATTCTTTTTTTGGGTGTTAGGATATGTTCCTTTTGGTTTTAGAAGAGAATCCTCTTGAGGCTATATAAGAGGATTTAACCTAAGAATAAGATTATTTAAGATTCTTCGATGATAAATTACTATTAGAAAAACTGTACTTTCGTAATTCATTTAAGGCACTTCGTGTGACTAACATGGGTTAAAGGAGCGCTCGTTGCGATGGCTAAACGCTTAATCTCGCGTTTTTATCGCGCGATCAGACTCCCTGATTTAATTTGTATCATCATCTACAGAAAAGGATCTCACATTCGGTCTCGGTCCCTTGATTCCTCCTGAAGAAAAAACGCGTAACCACGAAAAAAACATTCACCCGCCTTTCACAGGCCGGCAGTTGTTGTTGCGTCATCGCCTCGTTCAAGGGTTACCTTCGACTACGAGGCTCTGCGAGCTGCCTAAGAAAGAATAAGAAGAAACAAAGAGGAGGAAAACGAAGGGGTGAAGGCGGAGGAAGAAGGGGCGAAAATCGAAAAAGAGAGGAAGACAATGCAGCTAACAGCAGGTGTCTGCTTGCCTGTTCGTTCCTCATCCTCCTTCTCCTCCTCTCTTTCGCTCTTTCTCGTGTCCCTTCCTCCATCTCTATCCTCCTCCCCGTCGTCGATCTCATCCGGGGAGACCATCCCGACACTCACTCGACTCCCTCTTTGTTCTTTCGCACTCCCCGCGGAGCGGCGAACACGAGTTACCTTATTCGGGCGTGACAAGCGAGGATCAACTTAAACAAATGACATCGACCAAGTCGCGCGCGCGCGCGACTGCGGCGGTCTGATTGCAGGTATCTCGTTAAGGTTGTCCCTTCGGATCGTCCCTATTAATTACGATCAGTAGCCGGCGACGAGCCATCGGCGACGCGACACCCGATCGTGTGGCTCGTGATTGTCCCGCTGGCTCCCCCTCGCCCTTACCGACACGATTCTCCTTCGGTCGCCGCGGTACCACGCTGTCTGCTGACGAGAAAGACGTGGGAGAAATGTCCCGAGGGGGAGACCTCAGGGTGCAGCCTCGGGTAACGGCCGATCGTAACGCATCGCGTGTACAAGGCCGCGCATTTCCGCAAAACCGAGCTAAGTTCGCACGACGCGCGGGAGTCCGGTTGTTTTGTAAGCGAGTCATTGATTTCCGCAGGGGGCAGGTTCATCTTAGCGCCGTGGACACACAGGTGCACGAAATGCGCACGAAACGTTGCGATAATCGACCTTCCTTTTATGCGACAGCTGACATGGCGAAATCAACATTTCGGCCTTTCCTGAGAAACTCTCGATCTTTTATCAATTTCCAGACGCAAAATGTCATTTCGTGTGCGTTCATCTGATTGATATGCTAAGTAGCCGATGATACCAGAGTTGAAAAGTTTAAGCATAGAAATTGTATTGAAATAAACGTCGGGTTAATATATTGATACGTTGTAACAGTAACTCTTGCGATTAATCGCGATTAAGAATCTGCTGATACGGCATTTAGCGGGCTTTAAGTAGTTAATGGATTCCCCGCTTTTTCAAGAACGTCTCTCTTGAGTTTTGTATAGGATAACGAGCGTGTTCCTGATAGGTTACATCTGCAAATCGCCGATAAGCATTTGCATAGCGCTGGCGACTTCGTCAGAAATGCGAAGACACGGCACGAATTACGAGCCTGCGAACCGGTTTCGCAGGCATACCGTTCGAATGGCGGAATTAACCCAAACTCAAAAGACCGAGGCGCCGTCGACGCTGCGCTTAATTGCACAGACGGATGGATGGATAGCCGGGGCTCGTGCGAATTTTTATCGTCCACGGGTCTTTAATCCTCTCTTTATAGCTATCTATCTAATTGCGCGACCATGATGCAAAAAACACAGCAGCCGCGCTATAAATATAGTTTGAGCTTAATCCTGTTGTTCGCGGCGGTCCCAGGACGACCCGTACGAAACCGTGCGAGAGGATTAACGCTCTCCTGTGACAAAATAAAATTACATCTTTACGACACGACATAATAAGAAGCAACTTACACGTTGCTGCGCGGGTGAAAAGACGCGCGATATCTATTTTGATTCTCTTGCGCTCGCGCCTCGACGTTTCGGCGTTGGGACATCATTGCAATTAAGCGAGCCTCGAAATCTAATAACTCACGCTCGCGATAAGAAACAAAGTGGCATCAGCTCCGGTTACAGGTGACCGTATGCGGTTGTAACGTCATAAACAATATCCGCGCGGGTCTCCGTCAACGCGAGCCAAGTATGTCAGACTCCGAACATGGACCTGGTGCGTTTCTATTTATAGGAGCGCGCTGTCTTCGATTGAACGAAAGGTACTGCTTGTCCAAGGTCATTTTAACCTCAGAGTAACGTGTCACGCGATGTCATAGATTCAAGATTACCGCACAAATGTGTCATGAGATGTATTTAGACGTGACACAAATGACAACAGACAGATAACGATAATAGCCAGATATAAAGTTGAGAGACAAAATAGTTTCTGTCCATGTTTTGACGCGCGGAACTCCCAGAAGGAGAAGCCGAATTGAGCAACGCGTTCAAGGGTCGAGCCCGAAGGATCTCTTTCTACTTTGCACCTCACGAGCGAAGTGCATTTGTCAATGTTGCGCCAAACAGATCAGTACGTGCCCCTCGATACTTCCCGCGGTGACTAATCGCCGATCGTTCGAGGCGTACCCGTTCTTCGGACCTCGTTAACTTCTCGCAACTTGTACCTGCGTGTAATCTACCCCTCTCATGTGCCCGATCCGATAAGCAATAAACGTCGAAGGCACCCTGCGAATCCGACATCAGCCTCGAAGCTCTCAAGGTTTGTTATTCGCAAACTGACGTATATGCCGATCGTACCAATTTTTTATCAACATCCACAAGGGGAGATTAAGAGGCGTGGTACTTGGTGTGGCGTGTAAAAGTCGCTCTTACTGAGAGAGAGAGAGAGAGAGAGAGAGAGAGAGGAGCGAGCACAAGAAGAAAATCTTTCCGCGTTAAGTCTAAACCGAGTCATCGACTGGAATTTCTTGCTCTCTTGTCGATATTTGCTACGTTGACGACAAACGTGTAACATACACGATAACGGTGACACGATATCGTCAAAAGAAGAGAAATATAACATAAAACAAAACACAATGACCAAAGAGAAAATCCGAGACGAAGGTATTATTTGTTACGTTTAACGGTACAAAACGTGATTAATTTCACTGACAAGTGTCGGTTCGGAGAGCGGAGCAGGCGATCCTGGTTCAGATCTCTCTTGGCACACAAGAAGCCTGGAATTTCCTCTCGTGGAGCCGGCGAGAATCCTCGGAGGACGAGCGACGAAATGCCGAATGCAGAGCGTCGTGGACGTCGAGGAGTGTCCAGGAGACAATAAAACGAGGAGGAACTCTCACCACCGCCATGCGGCGACGTCGATGTCGTATATATCGTCTCGCCGAGGACCTACGTTCCTTCGTCCTTCGTCTTCCCGCCCTCTCTCGGGCCCCCGCCGACCCCTCGCCCGGCCGGAACCGGGCACAAAAGCGGCGTCCTTTGAGGGAGGGTCCGAAACCAAAAAAAGAAGAGTCGGCGAACACGGCGTGCAACCGTGTTAACTGCGCTCCTTATGCATTCATATCCTTGTTTCGCGACAACCTGCTGATTGTTTCCACAAAACGCGACAACCCCCTTGTAGGCTGTGTGTAGCCCGGGCCGGTTTTTCGGCGGTCGCGCGAGGGAGACTTTTAGCCGCAAGGCGGTGCGGACGCGAGGCAAAAAGGATCAATTTGTATGCGGGTGAAAGCTCCCCGCCCGTTTCTGTCGCCCGTTCTTAACAGCGCCGGCCGTGTAACGTCTCCGCCACGACAATGGCGACGGCGAGATATAAGGGCGCGCGAGAAGTGCGTATGTGCGCCGGAAGACAAGCAATTGAAGAGCCTGGGGCAACAATGTGTGCCCGTGAACACGAAAGAGAGGTGCCGCGCGCGACGTACGCGCGAGGTTACATTTGTTCGCGGGTTCCGCCGCTGTGACGGTTTTATTCAAGAGCGCTCTCTCGTGCACTTTTAGCGGTGAAGGGTCAGGTGAACGCGAAAACGAAGGTCCGGAAATTATTATTACAAGAGTATGCTCTTTACGAGAGCTGCTCCGACGTGAAAGTTCACTCCGAGCGGTATGGTCTGCCGTCTCTACAGGGTGTCTGACAATTATTGACACACCCGTTGTGTTCACCAATCTTCTTTAATTAACAACTCAAAATTTTTGCCTAGTTATTGGCGAAATGGTAGATGAATTTTATGCTGTGAGTTTGATGTTTTCTATCTGCATACAACGGGTGTGCCAATAATTGTCAGACACACTCCCTTGTGTAATATCCATTAATATTTTGATTACGATACATGGGTACGCACGTCGTGGAGTCTGGACGTCTCGATGCTAACGAGGCCGAGTTGACGCGCGACGTAAGAGAGCCCGGGAGAAATCTAATAAACTGTTCGTTAGACTAATATCGCCGTCGAGGAAGTGCGGACAGAGCGACATGATTTACTGCTGTTTATCCGTACGCGATACTCCCGCCAGTATCGTATGGCCATTTTATCATCGTCAATAATCTGAGCAAAAGTGAAACTCGCTCCGAGTCTCAAGCGGCAGGGAAGGCGAGTCGCATGAAACTCCGAAATGAAATACGCTATCTCGCGTGACACGCCAGTTCCACGAGCGTATGCGCGACCCTTCCTGCATTGATCTTTCCTCACACCTCGAGAGGCCGGTGTTTCCTCAAGGTGTGCACACGTCGCGACGCGACGCGTTATCGGAGGTATGTACAAACGTCCGATTAAGAGGCGCGATAACGTGAGCCGAGAGTAACCGTTTTTTTCTTTTGGAAGGTGCAAAGGGTTGGCGAAGGACGTGTCAGTTGTCTGAATCTCGTTACGCGATGCTTCTCTCGAGGAGAACGTTCATCTCCTCCCGGCAGAGAGTGCAACTCTTTTCTCCCACTCTTCGCGCGCGATTCTCTCTCGTCGAGCGCGCATTGCCTTTTACATCCGCCACGAGAGACAGAGATTTGACTTAGAAGTCCGCACAATCGCCGCGGTTCGCCGACTGACAAAAACAGTCTCTATTTAACCAGCTAAACGAACCGCCCGGATCCTAACGTCGGCTCACTTTCCCACTGGGCCGTATAAGGCTCAGCATTTGATCTCATGCAGTCCTTGCAGCAACGGGTTGCATGATCGCACGCTATAAAGCCGGCGTTGTTACTCGCGGACGTGAACACCGATTATTCGGGCACGAAATTGCTGTGCCATTTGAGAAATGTCGAGAGCTCCGACGAGAGAAAGGGAATCCGCGATATAGCCGATTCCAAGCTAATGGTACATCCGAGTCAAATTCGCGCGTCTAATCGCATCCTCCCGCGACTGACGAGAGCGCGAGGGCGAAGGAGAGACGAGCAATAACGCGGAAGGCGAGCGACTTAGGGCCGGTTTTTCAATAGCAGTTTAAACTTTGATTCAAGTTTAAACTTTATTCTAACAATGCGTTTGTTTTGTTTAAACAGAGTTTAAGTTGAAATCTAAGTTTAAACTACCATTGAAAAACCGGCCTTTAGAAAAACATGGTGTTAGAAAAGAGGCACGAGTGCAAAGGGGAGAAATGGTAGCAGCTCGTTAGACATCTATTCGGCTTCCTAGCGATAGCCGAATCACGTCTGCGGCTCGCTTTAATAACGTTCGTGACTTCGTGATGGGCTTCCACGGGCTCGACGAGAAGATATCGCGGCCACAACACGAGCGAGACCGACATGAGCCCGGGAACGCGCCACGAAATCGCCGAGATCGCCGCTCACGATCGTTCCTCGCTCTCGTGAGGATTCCACGCCGGGTTTTCTGAGAGCCATGGAGAACTTCTGCCGGCTCGACCTCCGCGCGTTTCGTGCGGTTCCGCATCGTGACTCCCCGAGCAAAGTTCGAGCTCGTGAAGAGTCGCTTCCTCGGACGCACGTATCTGTGCACGAGGAGGTAGCCGGGAATTCTGCTTGGGGAAAGAGAAAGAAAGAATCGATTGCCTCTACCTCTGCAGGTAAGATTACACCGTGGGGCTAATCAATGCTTCCTCCAGCAGTCGGGTGCGTTTCGCCGATTCTCGGCGGATCGCAAATTGACGGTTCCGTCGGGGAATCGAGCGAGGAAGCGGCGGAGGAGACCGTCGCGAAGAAGGCGAATGGTAGTCGAAGATAAACCGTCGAAGCGGCGCGCAAAAGGAGATCGCGAAGATAAACGTGTCCGCCGTGGCATTGTGCCGTTCCGAGGGCCGCGTGTTAAAGTCGCGCCGGATTCTTATCCCTGGGATCTATCCTCGACGTATGCGCGTCGCTGCTTTGAGAAGCGGCAAATCGGTGTCATTTTTTGATAGCGGAGGCGTCGATAATGGGCTCGTAGAAATGTGTCTCGCATCGCGAATTTCGAACTTGCAAACGCGCGCGCGCGCAAATTTGGCGATTCTTATTATTATCATTGCTATCGTTGTCAAGGCGTTTCTTCAGCGCTCAGAGGTCCCGTTGAGCGCGAAGCCACTTGTATGAATCGATAGCAACGACTGTGAAAGTAATGCTACAATTCTAAGCAAATATACGAATAAATCGTAAAGTCATTAAATCGTAGCTTAAAAAAAATAATCGTAGATATTTACAAGTTATCATATGACATACGGTCCGCATAGAATTGCAGATCTACTCATAAGTTCTTAAAAGTCTTACGAAAACATGTTACGAGTTTTTACGTTTTTTTCTAGAATTGCAATATAGACTGAATAAAACTGAATAAGACTGAATAAGACTGAATAAAATGCAAATGTGACCAGTAATCTGTAATGTACGAATTGAAGTATCAGGTTTGTTCGCGTTGCTTTTGACACCTTTGCGCCTAATGCCCGTTGCATACCAGACACGATGAGCGAAATCCGATGAAAATTCTTCTTTCTAAAAAGAGGCCAGTGTGCAATAAGTATAACAGTCAAGAGTGCAAGCAACGCGGAGTGTATGAAGTTGGCACCCCACTTTTTGAAATTTATAATTTTGAAAGTTGTTCCAGAAGATTGTTCTGACTTTTTACCATATTGTTCCAAAGTGATATTGCTTCATTCGAAACGGTTTTCGAATAAAACAAAAAAAATGATTTTTTGAGCTGGCACCCCACTTTTCGAAAATCGAACATTCTGATACCGCAATAGATTGTTCTAATTGTTCCAAACATTGTTCCAAAAGGACAAATCCGTAAGTTGAATTATAAGTCCAAAAAATGAAAAAAATGTTTTTGACCTGGCACCCCATTTTTTGAAAATAAAGCATTCCGATACCGATATAGATTGTTCTAGTTGTTCCAAACATTGTTCCAAAAGCACAAATCAATCAGTTTAATTATAAGCCCGAAAGATTAAAAAAAATTTTTTGACAAACAGTCTATCGGACCAAGAGTAAACTTATACTATCTCTCTTGTTCCAACCGAGATCTTTTTGTTCTGAGTTGTTCTAGGCTTAAAAATTATAGTTCTAGAGTATGAGACTCATAAGATCATTCGTTCTCCGAAAATTCGTAAAAAAATCGATTTGATAGTACTCGACGTCAAGAGTAAACACATGCTTCCTTTCTTGTTCCAACCGAGATCTTTTTGTTCTGAGTTGTGCTAGGCTTAAGAATTATAGTTTTAGAGTATGAGACTCGTAGCGTCATCCGTTCTCTGAAAATTCGTAAAAAAATCGATTTGAAAATTGGCGGAAATAATTACAAAATGTCATGACAAAATAAAGTGAAATTGCTTCGTCGTTTAAGCCTAGTAATGTGGTACAAAGTGAGAACAATTTGGAACAACTTTCAAAATTATAAATTTCAAAAAGTGGGGTGCCAACTTCATACACTCAGCAATGCGAACAAATCTATTCTCGCAGCTCGCGCGGTTCGTTTGTCTCTTATGATATTTTCGTGACAGTTTTGTCCGCGCATTATGTGTCTTCGTACGAAAAGTAAATAGTCCCGTCAGAAATCGCTCAGCTGACTCGTCTTTGACGACAGCTCCAAATCAAACGAGTGTCCTTCGCACTTAACCGCGCCGATCGTGTCGTCGAAAATGAATCGTCTAAAGCACATCCTCGGTGTAAACGTCCCTCGTTACGTCCCGTCCGGTAAATATCATCCAAATAATTTGCGCGTCAATTCCCTGTCGAAATTTCTTACGTAAATCTGCACTCTCGAGGAGCGTCTCATTTTTCATAAATATTTAGTATACGTTGCATCACACTTCGAAAGCTAACCAAATTGCACCCTCATCTTGTCACTTCAGATTTTTTTAACATATTATGAATATTAAGAATGTATGTAACATGTTTTCATCTAAAATAATTATTGACATGTTTGTCCATACGATTCATTATCCGCAGTGAAGAGAAGTCATAGCACCGGTGTCAAACACTCGGCGCAATTGCGCCAAGGCAGCGCGCGGCTCGTTTCGAAAGGGAGCAAAACGATTTGTAAGCAGCGCAGCAAAACCAAATCGATGTCGTTGAAGAAATCATCGTTGGAAAGTGTAGCGAGAGGAGCGCGCTACTATTCTACTCAACAAGATGTCAAATTTACCAGCAAACGGCGCATGCTGCAGACGACGATAAATGACGCAAATCGCAACAGCAGTTTCATCGCATCCGTCGGGAGACAGCCTCGATCATACGCGCAGATGATAGCCGATTATAGCGAAGCTATCCGTGAGACATCCATCGCGGCTGTACGAAACGACGATACTTGTTTCGGCAATATATTACGCAAGAGTCCATTCGGTACTTTAACTTCGCCGTTTTTGGGCAAGCGAATGAAAAATATTGTCAAACGGGGCGGTGTAAGTTCAAGTAAAAGTCGAGCAAACGACTCGCCCCTTTCCGACCCGTTCGATCGCTCCATCCGACACGACAGCACGGAGAACATCACCGAAGCTACGAATCAGACTTACGTTCAGGTTACCGAGTCGAAGGATCGCTCTTACGTGAAACTGGTCGCCGACTGCAGCAAATCCACGCACAACATCTCTGTCGCATCGAACGGTGCTTTAACACCAAGGTTGTTGGCGAGGAATTCTCTCGAGCCCTTCGCCGCTCCAGCGAGAAATGCCAGCAGTACGAACAGTTCGCAGGGAATACCGCGAAAGGCAAGCCGTGTTGCCGTTGAGACGTCGAGGCAGAGTTCAACGCAGGTGTCAACGAGTACCGGCGCGTCGAAGCAGCCGCAGGTCGAGCTGCACATGGTGCCGTCCGCGAAAGAGTCCGTCGTGTCCATCAACGTGGACTCGGCCTCGGCTAGACTGTCGAGTCCCCTGAAACTCGCCTCCGAGGAGCTGTCCGTCGTCGTGCGATCTAACCAGAAGGCATCTGCACGGTCCAACGAGGCTCAGTGGAACGCGCCGGCGATTCGGCAAAGCGCAAACAGCGCATTGCGGCATCGCGGCGACTTCGGTCCGATGCGCATTTCGATTAGCGAGGACTCCGCGCCGATCAAACAGATTGAGTTTTCAATCAACGGCAAACCGGTTTCCGAGCTGAGGAGCATCGTCGCGCGCACCGAGAGGCTAGACGTGCTGACTTCGCCGGACAAAATCGAGATCAGGGTACCGTTCGCCAAGGACGACGCGGCCAGCAGGAGCCGAGCGGAGGACGAGCTGCGCCGGAGAAGCGACTCCAGCATGCAGCAGATATTGAACGTGCAAATATCCGCCAATTTCCAGAACGAATCGACCAAGGGAAGCACCGACCGACCGCATAATGCGCCGACGATCACAAGCACAACGTCGACGCCATCGCCGCAAGCTCCCGCGACTCGTTCTCTTCTCAGGAACCCTGCGGGAGTCCCTTCCGCGATTCTCGACAACGACGACAACGCGCAACTACGCGGCACTTCCGTCCGAATGGATATCAAAGCTGGTGCGATTAAGGGGAAGATTGACGGACGTAGAATCTCAAGTGGGAGTCGAAGTTCGAAAGCTCAACGTGAGACAACGAGGAATCTGTCGGCTGACGAATCGGACGTTTCGACGATCGCGAGAGCGAACGACACGGAAGGTGGGAAATTATATGCGAGAAAGATCACGAATCCTCGATACTCGGGTGCGAATAAGCACGATAAGAACGAATCTTCCGACACTCGCGTTCCCACGAATATGATTCCCTGGTGGTCGTCCTCGGACGGTTTCAACAGGATGAGGAAGAAGGAGGACGGTCGCAAACCGGCAGATTGGAGTGAAAATAAATTACCAAACCAGCCATCGATGAAACCAGCCCAATCGACGAACAACACAGCTGCGGTTGCAAATAATTCCAGCGATATGATTTCTCACTCTTTGCAGCAACGCGAAGAATTCAAACCGACTATTTATTATCCGTCGTTATTTAGACTGAAACCGAATCGGGAGAATCTCGACTCTACTTCCGAAGTTATGAGAGACGGCTTCAAAATTAAAACCATGCAGACGCAGGTTACGGAAAAAAACGGCGAGGCAATTTCAAGTGTCAAACGAACAGAACCGGTCACATTATCTACATTTGAGACAACGAATCTACAGAACAAGCATGATGATGCGAGCGGAGAACTCGATACGCATGTCAAGAAGACATCTGTCCTGCCGAAAAAGTTCAAAGTGCCAAAGGATACGCAGGACTCCCCGTTAAAGCAAGATCGAGAAAAGAAAAGTAACTACCCGCTGAAGGAGACGCATTCGATCGACGATACGTTCAGCACGAGCAAAGTGAAAGTAAGAGATATTCTAGATGATATGAAGCCGCTTGAGAAAAGAGAAGACGGCAGCCTGATCGATTATGGTTTAAAGGTGTCATCGAGAAAATCAACGATGAAATTAAACAGCGGAGCGAAGGAGATTCGAGATCCATCTCCAAAAGTCATGAAGATCTTATGGAACTCATCGGATTCGACATCGAAGAAGTGCATGACCAAAACGACGTTAAAGAGAGAGCAGATCAATAAAGCAGCGGGACTACAACAAATAGGATGGGACAAGGCAGAGAAATCAGAAGCGAAGAGGATTATCCTGAAGGAGAAAGATGATCCAATCGCGAAAGACCTTTTGGCATCCGTAGACGTTAAAGCGCGGAATGAAAATCCTGTTAAGAACACAAAAGGATTCCAGCAAGATAGTCAAAAAAGTTCATCAAGTATCAGTGCTTCAAAAATGATGGAGACTCAGAAATCGGGAAAATTAAATAAGTTGAAGTCGTCTGAGTTCAACTATACTCGACATCCTTTTAAAGAACTTACGGACAAACAAATGATACAACGAAAAAAATCGTTCGCAGTCACTGATACAACCAAGTCATCTTCGCAAACGAAGTCAGATCCAACTTGGAAAATAAAGGACCACAATCCACTCACAGATTCGATAGAAAAAAAATGCAGAGGGACGCCGCCTTTTGCGCGTCGAGCCGCAGACAAGTTGGCTAAGACAACCAAAAATGTGGCGGCGATCGAAATTGCAAAGCAAACTTGCGCGAGTGGCGACTTGTCAACGAAAAATCGCCAAGAAAATCGACCGCGCAAGTCCAAGTCGGCCCTCGACAAAAGAAATCCCGCAGGATCAACCGATCCTCCGAAGAAGCCAAATGATTCGGCTGGTCTCAAGTCAGCTGATCCGAAGATGCGTATGAGAACTGATGTGAAATTCAGCGAATTGCGCGCGAACTTTAGTGGGAGTCAGTCAAGTGTAATCGGAAGCATTTCGCCGTGGGCTCACGTGGACAGGCCGGAGAAAATCGTGCTGTACTCCGCATGGTTGCAGCGGTTTAAAAATGACGTTGATGATCACGAGAAGTTACTCTAGTCGTGCGCTACGTCGACAAGAATTTCGAACATGTTACGCTGGAGACTTGTTAAAATACGACACGCTTGATTATCCGCGACTCCTGAACCAATCTCGACGAGTAAAATCATCCGGTGCAAATAAAGCGAGTTTCGTCAAAAAGGCCAACGAGAGTGCATCACGTCATCTAATTTCGTCACTGGATTTTTCGGCCGATCTAGGGACCGGAACGGTCGGTCGCAAGACTTCGGTGCTTGCTTACGCAAGCAAGCAGGGGCGATCTCGCTTCTCGGATGGCTCCGCGTTTCGTCGGCGGGCCCCGAGAGAGCGCCGGATTGGGTAATTAAAATTCTCATTAAAGCCGCCGGCGGCATCTTGAAACGCGCCGCGGACAATGGGGCCTGAAACGAGGCCGCGGGCCGCAAGGGTAGGACCGCGGCCGAGGGGGCAGATGGCGAAAGCACGAATGGAGCCAACCGGCCATAAAGAAGGAGGGAACCTGCGTCAAACTCTCGTTTACAATCGAGACACTTCGACTCCCTCGAGCCCGCTCGCCGTTTGTGTCGATCTTGTTACTGACGATCGTAAAACTCGCGCTTCTACGCCGCGTCGGGAATTCCGCATCGGGATTTCGCGATACCAGATGTTGTTGTTTACCCTCAAAACACGTGACGTAAGAAGATTATATAAAACTGCGGTTTTAGCTATCCAAAAAGGAAAAAGACTATATGCCCTTGGGAAATAAATAAGAAAATAATTAAAAACAGACGAAAAGCAACGAGTACTCGCTCCTTCGTCGCTTCGCCGCAATTAAACGAGTCGGTCTTTGACGCAAATCTACGGTAAGAGAGTTTATCATGAGTATTGAATTTATTCAAAATATATTCTAAATTCTAGTAAGTTTAGCATTTCAATTAGGAATATTAAATTTTAGAGACAAAATTTTGGAATTTTCTTAGCAGTAGAATAATATTTTTCTGCGTGTACGCTCTCTCACGTTTCTTCCTCTTAATGTTTATTATTATCAAGATGTCTATTTCGATCGATCGTCTGCTTATATAGGAAGTTTCTGTTTTCGTAGCATCAAAGGGGCACAATAGTCTATAGACAGGTTGTCCGTAATTTTTGAGGTGAGTTTGTAAACTCATAATTTTTGCTCAACGAGAGCATTCTCTCGTTGGAAAACGAATTCTCCCATTAAACAATGTAGGGAGTTCACAAACTTATGCCAAAAATTACAAACAATCTTTTAGTCCCCGACTATATTTCGAAATTCTTCTAGCCTACAAGTTCTACGAAATACTTGCGGGCTTGATGTAGAATCTAAATTTCGACCCGGGTAAGCACGAACTTGATCTTTCGGGTCGAGCTATCGGTGCGGCACGATACCCGTTATTATGCCAATTCGCGACGGGCACCAATTTGGTGCCTCCGACGTGAGGGCCTTCGACTCGCCGAGAATGAGGCTCCATCATTGAAGGGCGCCGTGGTCCGTGCCACGTCCCGCGCGCGCGCAATCGAGAAACCTATCATTACACACGCGTTTACCGCGAGTATAATCCCGTTCTGGCAGCTCGCCAGTCATTTGAAGTAATGCATCCCGACACAGTCCGGGTTAAGCGAGACTTTATCGACAGCTGTGCATCGAAAACGCGTCTGTAAAAAATGTAAACGTCGCTGCACACGTACGTCGCACCGCGGACGCCTGTTGGATTAGCGTTGCAAATCGATAAGTTCATTGAAAGCGAATTAGACATCATTCGGCGGCACGGTCAAGCTAGCACCCCGTCATTAATTCGCTTGCGATCGCGCAACTTGCACTGGGCTCGACAAGACAGGAAAGAAGAGAGAGAGAGAGAAAGAGAGAGAGAGAGATAATTGTTCTTACACAGAATTAACACCACAGACAGACACGAAGAGACCACCGAATTTTTACGGCCTTGAGATAATAACCCTGCTACCACGATATGTAACACGTAATGTCCTTCACCGCGCAATTCAAGGCTACGTGTTGTTCGTGCAACATAAACACGTGTTCTGCCTAACGTTCCTTTCAGCCTAGAAATCTCTTACCACGTCAATGACGCGTAATAAAGGTCCCGTTATATCATAAAGGCATTATCGTTGCCATAATGACCGCCGTGGAAACTTTCTTCATGCTAGCGTGATCTACGATCGAACGTGCCGACTTGAGTCGCTTCGATGAGCGCAGATGATGATCGTAGGAGATTATCGGCGGGACGACGAGTCACACTCGCGATCGCCAACAAGCCCCGCAATTGCCACACGATAACGAGCGGCCGCGGTAAAGCGCACTATCCCATCGCTAATTTATCGTGTGTCTTCGATCGAGAGAAAAATGAAAAGAAAAGAAACGCGTAAAGTTTTATCGCGAGGCTGGCACTCGCGTGCTCGCGCGTGAATCCTCGCTGACGATGAGGCCGTTAATTATCGAGAGCGACGAGGGGCATCCTTCATAGAGCCAGGAATGCAGATGAATCCTTCTCCTCCGCTACTCGGCATTCATCTTGGGACCTCGACGCGGCCTCTCTCTCTTGCCTGCCCGCGTACCTTCGCTCTCCCCGGCGTAGCAACGAAAGTTGATCTGACCCCACGAGAGTCCGGTTCAACCCTGCTCTCTCTTCCTCCTCGTCCTTCGCGCCTCCCTGCCGCGAACCCTCCTCCGCGTTGCCCTAGCTGCTGCGCCGGGCATCGGTTTGATTTATCACGGTGTTGCCGGCAGCTTCTTATAAATGTGCAGAAACAACCCCACTGCTACGTTCATCGCTCATCCAGGCGGAACGTATGCGACTTCTCGGAGTCCCGCTGACTTTTCCTCAGCGTCCTTGGCCGAACGTCAGGTAAGAATCCCGAGGATTCCTTCCACGTGATCCCTTCGCGATGTTATCGGGAGAAGCTTCGGCCCGACCGCCTGCCCGCTTCAGAAATGTCATGTATCTTTTCCCACGAAACAGGATATTTCCCAAAGTTATGAGGATAAAATGAAATTAATTTCCCTTACGGGCATCGCGAGACGAAAAATGCTATCAAGTATCGTTAAAGGCACAATCAGCGCGCGCGTGTATTCGTGGCGTTCGTGCGATCATGCATAGCAACGCGTACATGCGATCGATCACGCGCGCTCCTTCGCGAATACCTTACTTTAATGGGGGATTACGTTTGCAGCGAGGTTTCTCCAAAGCCACGATCTCTGTAGTGCTACGTCCACCTCTCTCGATTTAATCCTCCTCTTCCCGCCCTCGCGCTTACGAGGATTAATTATTTTTCTTCGTGCGAGGACGAAGTTCACGGTCATTTTCTCGTCGATCCTTCGCGATATCTATCTGAAGTCACGCTAATCCTTCGCGAGGCCCTTATGGAAGGTAGACGCAGCGGTTTAAGCGGGAAAGCGAGAGACTTAGAGAGAGAGAGAGAGAGAGAGAGAGAGAGAGAGAGAGAGAGAGAGAAACTACTGAGAGAAAGATGAGAGAGCAAAAAAAAGGAGTGTCGAAAATGCGGATTTTGTTCCGGAGTGGATCAGTGCGTAACTTAAGGGAAGATATGTCGCCGAGTTTGGGGTTAATCCGATCCAGTGTCATTTCGAGTGTGCTCAGCTCTCGTAACTCTTTCTCTCCTTTTCTCCTCGTGGTTTTTACTCGTGTCCCTTGGTTGGGACGATCGAGTGCTCTTCTGCTTAATCCTCTCGCGAAAGAAGGTGCAGGCAGAAAGAGAGACATCGAGAGGAAGCAGAAAAAGCTGTATCCAGATAAAGTCGCGAAATCGAGCCGCCGTCGAGCGAGCTAATCCGCTTACGGTGATGTCCTCGCAGCCGAGGAAGAAGCGAGGAACGTCGACGTTCGCGACATTCGTGGCGAAATTGCAGCGAGTAAGAGTCTTAAGTCGCGGAGTTATAGAAACATCAAGGCGCGGGCAACGCGTGTCCCTCGACAGCGCGCTGCTTTAAGCCGTCTAATGAGATTGAACGACACGGTGCATTCGCGGTGAATGGCACACGCTGCGTTAAAGGGACTTTGCTACGCGTCGATTTCGCGAGTGGCTATAGTTTAAAGATCTTTACGGCACGATGATCACGCGAGCGCGCTTAAGAGAGAGCAAAACGCGCAATTCCGTCGAAAGAGGCAGCGCAAATTATTCGCAGATTGCGTCGGAATTGTCTTCTTAAGTCATGCCTTTATATATCCTTTAATAGCGCATTGAAGGTGGACGATTTCTGACTGTTAAATAAGATTTTTTGATGTATCGATTTTTGAATTTTTGACAAAAAACTTTTTACAAGGAAAAATTTCTCCCTTGAGAGTGCATCAGAATCCAAAATGTAGCAAGTCTTTCTCTTCTCTTTCAACCCACTCGCTTGATGATCTAGAAGAGCGCATTTACTCTCCTCCTTCTACTCGATGCCCGACTTACGACACCAATGCCTGAGTAACAAGCGTGTATTCACTGCGCTAATTGAACGCGCATTGATATGTCGCGTCGCTATAAATCGATTACTTTATTGAGATCAGCCTCGGAATGCGCGCCCCTCGCTTCTGGACACAGCGGCTTCCAGGGTAAAAGAGATCCTGGAGCGGAGAGACACGATAATGCGACGAGAGAACGACGCGATCGCCTTTCTCTCACGAGATGTCGCCGATACATTAGCGTAACTTGACTGCTTCGTCGCGAAGTAACGCGGTAATTGCTCGGTTCGGTGTTCGCCTTTTACACGTCGCGCTTATCGGCCCAAAAGCTCCAGAATCCAGGATATCACGTCGTCGAGACATCACTTTCGTGGAACAGTTTGCTCTCCCGTCGATAAACTCGTTTTATATTTAAGGTGCCGCGGCGCGCTTATCAGGACCTAATGAGACGCGATCGTTCTTAACCGCGGGAGTTTTTTTGCACGACTTTAACTGTCACTGGATCCGCCATGAAAATTTAACGCGCTTAGGACGGAATGTCCGACGAGTCGTAAACGGGATTATCGTGTGCGACGGGATGTGTATATCGAGGTATTCGCGACGAGCTGCTGTATACGGTATTAAATTTTCGATTAGCATGATTAATATCGCACACGCGCAAGTCGGCCGATTCAACAGCCGTACGCGGAGCCTCGCCAGCGGATCCTTCAGAGAATGCCTTCTCGAGGATCGAATAAATGTCTATCCATCTATCTTACATTCCTCCCCTTCTCCTTCCCCTTCGCCGTCTCCTCTTTTTCAAGAGGATGACGCAGCGTAAAGAACGCGATGATCGCAATCGCGCGGTTCGCTCAAGCTAATTGATGATTTCGCCTACTCGGCGGCCTGCGCCGAAAGGGCCCATACAAGGACAGCGATCGCGGCCATCCCGAATAAAGGCCGTCGGTCCGATTAACCGCGATCCAACGGGCACGATCCGCGCGCGAGCACGATCCGCGCGCGGAAGCAGCTTTCAACAGCGGCGCGATTTCCGCCGAAGACGAATGCGCCGCGGCGAGCGAGCGGAGGAGAGTTTCTTATCGTGCATCGTTCGCTTACCTACTCACTGCCTCTTCTCCTGATTTATGCGGCTTCGTGAGCCGCCACTTTCCGGGAGCTCGCAGGCGCGAGGTAACGAATCGACTATTGTCGCGTCAGGACGCGCGGAACCGCGGCGTTTCGCGAAGTTCGTCCGCCATCTCGCTCGCGGACAGAAGAATGAGAGGATCGGGTGTGCATTTTGGGGTGGAAACTCCGACGGCTGCCACCATCTGGTT